GGACGGAGCACGCCGGGTTCTCACCGGACCAGGCTCTCACATCACCAAGCGCGAAGCGCCGTGAGGTATTCGGCGAGTCGCATGAAGGGTGCGCTGCATCCTGCTAAGGGTGTTTGGCATCTTATGCTTACTTCCTTGCGTACGAATGACAGCTGCGTATGACTTAATTTATTTTCTGGCGCTTTGACTTCCAGAGACAGTTGTAAGCGCTTTGTATCTGCCTCGAGGGTGCTTGGCCAATTTAACACAACGTGCGATCATCCCCTTTGCGCGGAGTGAGGGTTCTCGATCCCGCACAACATAATCTACTCGACCACCACTATGGTTACCGCAAAAAAAAAAAAACATAGGCAAAAAAGAAAAAGCGGTAACCTGGTTGCGGAGCTCACGAAGTGAATCGGCTTGTTTTACAATATCGCTGCCAAGCGACGAAAACCCAACCCCGATGGCAAACACCGGGGGGGCGGCTTGTTTTACAACGTCGTTGCCAAGCGACGAAAACCCAACCCCGATGGCAAGCACCGGGGGGGGGGGAGGGGGGGCTATGTGTCCAGAAACGTTTTTCACGTATACCCTTGCTTGAGCAAACATAAACTGCGTGTTCTGTCGTGGCCGGAATTTTGGAAAATACCAGGGTATTCGTCGGGAATTCTCCCGACGTGTTTTACGCCCACGGTAGGCGGATCCGGTAATTGGCGGTATACCGCCGAAATTCGCGTTACCGCCTACCGCCGAAGGCGGTACCGCCGAAAAAGCAGATACCGCCTACCGCCAAAAAACTACCGCCGTATTTCGAACCGCCAAAAAACTACCGCCATTTTACGCGATAACGGATACCGCCAAAAAACTACCGCCGTCTTGTGTACCGCCAAAAAAACACCGCCATATTGGCTACCGCCAAAGCTATACCGCCATATTGGCTACCGCCAAAATAGTACCGCCACATTGGACACCGCCACAAAGGTACCGGCAAAAGGTCAGTGTTGGTTAGACTGTTCAACAGGATGATCACCTGATGGGAAGAACTGGAGTTCAATTCTCGCCAATGTCTTTTTTTTTTCGATTCATCTGGAGTTCATTTTTTATTTTTTTGTTCCTCTTCGGTAGAACCTCGATGGTGTGCACTGTGCGCTGTCGCATGGACCACAGCAGCAGCAATGTAGATGCACACACGCACCCACCGCGCAGCGCGTGTGATGCAACAGAATGATGAGCAATTTATCCGGGAGTGTTAGTGCTTCTTCTAATAGTGCGGAGGCTGCGAATGCTGGTGTTGCTGATTCGGGGACGCCTTCTTCTGGCAATTCGGTGGTTGCCATCAAACGATTCGGTGGTTGCTGAAGAAGAAGAGGAGGTGGTGTTGCAACCCCCACTACCCCAGCCTGAAGCCACGATTCCCTTTGCTGCTGTAGACACTTGTCTTAGCGTTTTTACGTTTTTACTGTCCTTGGTTGTTCTGATGGTTGGTCTGATATTTACAAAAAAAATGATCAACATGCCTACACCATCCGGTGATGATATGTGATTTTGTGATTTTGTGTCTCAGCCTCTTATGCTTCTGTCGTCTTTCGTATTGCAGAAGGCTGGTCAATTTACGATACTTCGAAGTGTACAATTTAAATGTAGTCGCTTTGTCTACATACATTGCGTGCTTTGCATTTCTGGGGTGACATGGTGGGGAAGAACACAAGAATATACTCCGGAGTTGTCAGAAAAGATATGCACCTAGTCTCGCCCGAAAACGACTACAAATAACGGAACACCGCTTCTGTAACATAACTTGTGCCGGACAGACAATTGCGAACCGCCGGCGGCGTTCCCGACATTATTCGCGTTACCGGCAACCGCCGAAGGCGATACCGCCGAATAAGCAGATACCGGCAACCGCCGAAGGCGGTACCGCCGAAAAACCAGATACCGCCTCCCGCCAAAAAACTACCGCCGCCGTATTTCATACCGCCGAAACTGTTACCGCCCAAAAAAACGCTACGGAGGAATACCCTGGAAAATACAGCATCGGGTTAAGCCTTACAATAAAATGATCTCAAGCGCAAATTATTTTTCCTTGGGCTGTGGGCCGTCTCTCCTTTCCTGGACCTGGACCATCTCGGATCTCGATCCCGATCGCCGTGCCAATCGATCGTGTCCAGCTTCATGGTAACTTTTCGAATTTCTTCCCCCTCCGGTGGGGCGGGGGGGGGGGGGACTATGTGTCCAGAAACGATTTGAACGTTACCCTTGGTTGTATGCATATGGGGGAAGAGAAAGTGTCGAAGACACGGCAAGCTGCCGATGACCATAACTCGAATTGCAAGCCTTCCAGAGCACTCTCGAAAGTGCGGATTGAATAATGAGGACCACCTGTTCCAGCCGATACCTAGCGCATGTGTTTGATGTGCGCTCGCCAACAGGTCCCTTCAAAACCTACACCACCTCCTGCTTCCTCTACCCCCCACTCGTCTTTCTGCATCTAATGGTTGTATTTGTTGCCTTTGAGGACCTGCGGGCCGCACGCGCGCCAGACACGCGCACTGAACTGTTCCGTGTTCCCGGGAAATGCGATGTGTGTTAAGGCCGCACTGGGGATCGCAGTACTTCCTCTTCGAAAAAGCAGGAAACGCCTGGAAACGCCTGCATATCTCGGTTTTCCAAAGTCTAACTCCAGTACGAAACTACCATCGTAAATTAACCGTCCGCAGCGGTCGCTTGTGTACAATGTTAGTAGCTGAGGTTGTATCCCTTGCGATACACTACAGACTAGCGGTCCGCGATTTTCCAAACGATCCTTCTATCATCGAGTTCGGTGAGCTACAAGCTAGATTTTTGAAGCTGCTGTGCGGTCCAATTTTGAAACGCTTCAAGCACACGGTGAACACGAATCACCGCCTATGTGAGTGTATGGGGCCGCGAACTTCAGCGCAGCTCTTCCCTCACATATCCAGCTGGTCGCCATTGTCCATTTGAATGTCCAGGGTCATGTATATGCATTTCCAGCCTTTAGGCAAAGGTGCTTGAAGCGTTTCAAAATTGGACCGCATAGCAGCTTCAATAATCTGGCTTGTAGCTCACCGAACTCGATGATGATAGAAGGATCGTTTGGAAAATCGCGGACCGCTAGTCTGTAGTGTATCGAAAGGGCTACAATCTCAGCTGCTAACATTGTCCACAAGCGACCGCTGCGGACGGTTAATTTACGATGGTAGTTTCGTACTGCAGTTAGACTTTGGAAAACCGAGATATGCAGGCGTTTCCTGGATTTTTCAGAGGAGGTACTGCGATCCCCAGTGCGCCCTTAAGACCCAACGACACGGAACATGGAACAGGGAATTCCGAGTTCCATGTTCCCTGTTCCCTGTTTGGTCTAGACTGCATATACGCCCTCAGACATACACGCCCTCAGTATCTAAAAAAACGAGTTGGTGAACAACATGATTGCTATTTTGACTCCGTGAATGGAAAGCCGATCCAAAAAGGCCAAACAATGCAACTCTCTTGGGTTGCGTTGACTATCTATGCATCCCGATCGTCTTTGCCTAAGCGATGTGCGTGCGTTCTCTCCTTGCCATGGGTTTGACCAGATCAGTTAGCCCCACGCTTTGGAGAGGCAACAGCAGCATATTTTCCCACAAGTGCTCACCTGCTCACCCGTGGTCGAACGCAGTGAATGGTTGACGGTCGGAATACCCTTTCTAGGAACATTCCTTGGGAAGGTGCAGCTCGTGCACAGCAACCTAGCTTTTCACCCTTACGAACCTAGCGCTTGTACCGTACACAGCAACCTAGCCCTTACCACCTCTTACGCCGCGGCTTAGGCGCACACGAAGAGCACCTGATCCATCGTTCATCGTTGGTGAAAAAAAAATAGGTTTACGACCTGTGTACTGAAAAATGACGCCGGGTACTTGACGCTTGTATGCATCCTTTTGTATGTAGTTGAGCGAACATGTCGTGGTGGCGTCGATGTACCGGCAAGAGCGATATGCCCGACCTAAAGTAAAATGCCGTGGTGGCTCTACGAACAATACGGATACACTCGCAACAGAGGTCACGACGACACACATTGTGCTGGCCACATCCCCTTGATCGGTTCCCTTCGCAGCAAACGGCGAAATCGATCGGTGTGTTACATATCTATTACCTATATCTATTGCATACGAGTAGTTTTTTCGGCTCTAAAATATCTTCCATCAATTGACCCCAAGCTTCGTACTGCAGCTCTCACCCAGCGACGCTGTCGAAAAGCAGGTGCTGGAGCTCCAACGTTTGGTCCTGCAGTAGGGCTGGTCGCGCGTCCGTGCCTGCAAGGTGGGTGGGTGGTGTGTTGTTGCCTTGTGACAATTCAACTTCAAAGGCAGAGTGTGCGGTGTGCGGCCCACCGGAGCGACAAAAGTCATGCCGATCACACCCTTGTCAAAAACGCAATTGGATGTGAAGGAACTCCCAAATTCCCAGATATGGTTTCCTCTCTCAGCTCTCCCTGCTGCTGCTTGCTGCTGGCTGTTGGCTGTTGGGCAGTGGTGGTTCGATCCACGGCCAGAGGGGGTCCACGATGTCAAGGGTCTTCGTGTTGCTGTGTTTTCTTCTGCCAGCTGGAGTGCATACCTTCGTGGGCCATCACCATGTCGTGATCGGGAGAAGAACAGCGAGGTGCCGATCGATGCTCATGATTTCGCGTGACGGCAGTGTGTGTAGCATGATCTCCTCTCTGTTGATGGTGTTGACGGGTACAGCAGTACTGCTGTAGCTGCTGCACGCCAGCCCCTCTCCTTTCGAAAGGAGCTTGTTAGGCCTGTCTACCATCCCAGCTTCTTTGTCCTGTGTCTTCCGGCCTGATTCCTGCGGTTACCGCTGTGTTCAACTCCATGGCCGCGCGAAGAAGGTTCCGTACCATGCTACAGCCACCGCATTCCTTGCCGTGCTTCACGCGACCCAACCAGGAAACCACAGTCTAGGCTAGACTACGGCTGTCATAGAGCAAACAGGGTACTCTGTACAGTGCAGTGTAGTGCTTGTGTACCACACAAGTTTCCTTTACAATGTCGGTGATCTGCCGCTGTGGCGTGGCTGCATGTGAAGAAGGCACAACCAAACAACTCCAAGCAATCGCAGTGTATCGTACCATACTGGTAGGAATCGGTCAACGTAGTTCATGCACCAGCAACATGGTCTAAATACTACTGTGTACTCCGCCGATGGGTATCTACATTCAATTTGTACCCCATCATACACCGACATTGTATCGGGCAAAGCGTACTTGTGACGATGCAGGATCCCAAGCGATATGTATTTCGCGTGTGTTTCCATGTTCCATGCTCCCGGCAGCACCCTCGTGCTTCTTCCTCGTTCCCTTTTCAAGAGCATCCTCGTGGTGTGCTCCGTTCTTCTACATGTACTCGGATTATGCATGTCAGTTGTATGTACTTCCTCTCATCCCGTGTTTGTGCCAACAGTACTCAGGGTCAGTGCAGAGCAGACACCGCCCAGCGTACCTAAAATGAAAACGTCTGAAACCTCCAAAACCGTCCCATGTGCCCCGGCGGCAGCAGCGGCAGCGACATCACGCAACAGGCACCATCAGCAGCATGGACTCAAGCGGCCACGCCACCACCACCAGCAACTAGATGCTGCACGGAGCTGCGCATGGCCTCATCCAAGTCGAAACGGTCGAAGAAGGCAAGAACAGCACCAGCTGGACCGACTGCGGCTGCGACCGTTTCTCGGGACGAAGATCTCGCCGGCTTCCTGCACTGGGCGGGCGAGGAGATAGGAGTCAAGGCTCCCAAACTCAAGGGAAGTTTCGTCGATGGGTTGCGCGGTAAGTGCCGGCCGGTTTGTGTCGATGGGTTGCGTGGGGAGTGCACGGCCGATTTGCGCCCCCGGTATCTGCTTGATACCCCTTTTCCGGCGTCACAACACGCGCCCTTTTAATGGCGTGCCGGCCGGATTTTGTCGATGGAGTGCAGGTGGTGAGGGCAAAGGAGTGCCCGACTGTTTTGCGCCCAGTACCACTACCTGATCCCCGCCTTTCCGACATTGCATCGCTCGCCCTTTCGATGACCACACGCAATCGGCGAGCAACAGCCCGACGGGTTGTTCCGCCCTCTGTGCATGCGCACATGTTGTATTCTGGGAGTTATTGAAAGTGGTGGCAGTCTGCATGCTTCATTAGCCCCAGCCTATCCACGGGGCTGACGGCAGTCCACCGCCGGCGGCGGCCTCTACACAAACGGGAGTTTGAAAGGAACATCCGCGGATAGATCGTGGGAGACCTCGCATGCAGCTTTTTGCCAGTTGTTGAAAAGGTGGCTCGACACGTTTCAGCTTCTCCTTGTGTATTCGATACACTGCCGGTTTAGTCGGCTCCTTCCTTTTCCCCTTCTGGTGATCGCGCCCTGCGTATGGTGTTCGTGGTGTAGCTAGCTGTCGCGCCCGAATGCGTCGTTTTGGTTCTGCGGCCGATACCCCACAGCAGGACCGCGTCTCAATCTCCGATGTCCCTCAATGCCCGAACCAAAGTTATTTTTCCCGTGCTGGCGGCGTCGCCTTCCCCGTGCTGCTGCTTCTGTGCCCGCAGGGCTGGTCGCGACCCAGAACATCGCGAAGAACGACGAGATGGTAGTTGTTCCCAGCGAGTCAGCGCTGGTCACCACGACTGACCAGCTCTGCCCGTTCCCCGAATGGGTCAGCAAGGACTTCTGGGCCAGTAGTCCATGGTGCGTGCCGCATTGCGAGGGGGGGATGGGGTTGGACCATGCTGGATATCCGTTTTGTTGTTGTTGCTGTTAGTGGTGGTGGTGATGTTTGATTGCTGTTGCTGTTGTGATGGCCGTTTTTGTCCCCTTGTTGCGTTTCGTTTGAATAATGATCCGATGGTACTAGCCGCGTGCCTCTATTGGGTTTGACTCGCGGCGAGCATTCGGCACCGCGCCTTTCATGGCGTCGCGAGATGCACGCTGCACGGAAAAAATGCCCGCCTTCCTCCATGTGACGAAACAACCCAAGGCGTTAGTCGAGCATCGCGGAACGGTTCACTCGAAAACGGTCCTGGACGTTTCGCAACTAGCACATACGATTTGTTTTCGCGTAGGCACTGTTGTTGTTGCAGCGTTTAGACGCGTGTACTGTTCTGTGGCAATTGAAAACCATTCCTTTACTCCGATATTTGTTTTTATTGTTTCGGAAACAGTAACATCTCCGTGTTTGACGAGTCAACTCCTCTCCTCGACGGCCCGGGTCCGTGTTCTTTTGCTTTTGCAACGTTGCGTTTTGCTTTACTGCACGCCGCAGGCAAGTCAGGCTGGCCCTCCTGTTGCTGCGCGAGAAACAGAAGGGGGCGGCATCCGAGCTAGAACCTTGGTGAGAAGAGTGATAACAAATATTGCGACAAGCAGTGAGGACTCTCAACGCAACTCCCCGCTCGGCCTACCCCGTTTGAAAACCCGCCGCCGTTCTAGAAGCGAGAATTGTACCGGTGCATCGCACCGGGGTGTACCATGCCCGCGTCAGACACCACTCTCGGACATGCACAAAGGCAGCCGTTCACAAGTGACTTTGCTTCTTGTCGTTATTTTTCTATTTTTTGTTGTTAGGATTTCCCGCCTCCCCGAGTCCTTCGGAACTCCGGTATCGTGGTCGGCCGCCGAGCTGTCGGAGCTGCAGTACCCTCACCTCGAGGCGGTGGCGAGGGAGCAGCGGGAGGAGTGGAAAGGTTACTACTCGTCTCTGATGGCGTCGAGCCCGGGTTGCGGGGTGGCGGAGGAGGAGCTGTCGTGGGCGATCGGGGTGGCGTACAGCAGGGCCTTCAGGCGAGTCTCTCCAGACGATGCATGGCTTGAGGCTGTGTCCTCCACGTTTTTTTTTCAATACATGCGGTAGTATCTCCTTGGCACAACAACCTGGCCTATTGGCAAAAATTCAGGGACCTTCCCCCAATAGCGCGGCTCTGGTAAGTTTTGTCTGTCACTTTGCAGGTACCTGTTTATCGCCGGTTTGTGCCCCGAAAATACACGGGCACTATGCCGGAACGGCAATTTTCAAGGTATTGAGAATTGCGTGAAAATTCAAGTGTGTGCCCGCCGACAACACCGACACAATACCGGGCACCGGCGCGATTCAACCGGCACTAATCAGGGCCTCTACAAATACCGTACCGCGATATACCGGGACCACTATTGCTGCATGCGCCCGTGTTTTTGGGCCCTCTCGGTTTCGGTAGTGTTTCTATGGGGAACAGCATGTGCCGTGGTCGGTTCATGCGCCGTCACTTGGCGACGAGAAAAGCAAAGTTGAAAACGTCGAGCCCGCGCGCGGAGGCTCGATGCCCCGAATACTGTTAGGCTTCCAGGTGCGCAGGATGTGCGTGAGACAGATCGAGACTCGTTGTCGATGTAGGGGAAGGGGACACCTTAGCTCCACCCCCGACTTTCACTCTCTTGCTTTTTTTTCACTGGTGTTTTTTTTTAATTCCCCCGTGCTACGGATAACGACAATTTCCCATCACTTCACGAGAATCAGATCACATATGAATGTCTCACCAACGCTTGTCCTTTCCTTTCTATCCCCAATGTTCCTATCGCCTCTGGTCGTGCCTGTTGCAACAACTCCAGCGGCCCGTATGAAGGGCGGGGCCCCAAGGAGCGCCTGGCGGAGGTGGCGTTTGTGACGGCGCTGGCGGGAGGCTCTCTCGCCCTGGGGCTAGGCACACCCGACCAGGTGGCGAACGGGGCTTTCGCGGTGTTGCTCAGCATACCCTTGAGGTGATTCTTCTTCTTGTTCGTGTTGTTGTGTTTTTGAGTCTGCATCGACCGCGCTGAGCAATGAAAAGACATCATCAGTCTTTGCAGCGGGATAGTTGACGCGAACACGCTTTGTAGTCACAGGAGGGGCGCAGGAGTTGGACGAAAGCTTGCTGCTTCTCGAGTACAAAGAGTATGTGTGTGTTCGTTTGCGGAGGGGCGCAGGAGTTGGACGAAAGCTTGCTGCTTCTCGAGTACAAAGAGTATGTGTGTGTTCGTTTGCGGAGGGGCGCAGGAGTTGGACGAAAGCTTGCTGCTTCTCGAGTACAAAGAGTATGTGTGTGTTCGTTTGCGGGTGCTAAGACATGTTGTAGCTTCGGGTGAAGCGTCGTGTGTTCGCTCTTGTGGGCATCGGCATCGTCCAAACTCAGCCCTCGTTGCGGTGGTCGCCACGAAGGATACGCAACAGCGGTCAGGGGCTTTGTCCGTCGATTCGCCGACATTTTCTTCTCGTACACCGAATCCACTGCTGTTTTGTGTTTCACTTGCCCCTTTGCACCACCCTCGCATTATGGCATGGTTGCCTGTCGTGCTTGCTGCGGTTGTGTGTGACTGCTCTGTGCCGAATTCTCCATCCTCGTTTTCGCTTTCCCTGAGCTCGTCAACCAGGTTACCGCTTTTTTTTTGCCTTTTTTTTTTTGCGGTAACCATGAATGGTGGTCGAGTAGATAATGTTGTGCGGGGTCGAGAACCCTCACTCCGCGCAAAGGGGGGTCATCGCACCACGTTGTGTTAAATTGGTCAAGCACCCTCGAGGCAGTTACACAGTGCCTACAACTGCCTCTGGAAGTCAAAGCACAAAAAAAACATTTAGTCATACGCAGCTGTCATCCGTACGGAAGGAAGGAAGCACAACATGCCGAACACCCTTAGCAGGATGCAGCGCACCCTTCATGCGACTCGCCGAATACCTCACGGCGCTTCGCGCTTGGTGATGTGAGAGCCTGGTCCGGTGAGAACCCGGCGTGCTCCGTCCCGGCTTTGTAGGGATGCGAGGTCAATGGTCTAACGACTACGGCATGCACGACTATGAGTACACACACCCTACTCTCTCTCTCTGTCTCTCTCTCGTTGCCACCGCTTCTCTCCGTCTTGACTTTCCTCTTCTCTCCCCCTGCCTTCGCTCTCCCCACACCCTCACACACGAAACCGTTTCGCATTCGCGGGACATGAATGCCGCTTCCAACCCCCAGAGACTTCTTTATGACGAAGCTGGTTCAGCTGAAGAGGTACGCGCTGACGCCGGTGGTTGACCTTATCAACCACCAGAGCGGGATTGACAGCGACGTCTCCTACAACTACTTCTACGGCTACTTCGCGGTCACCACTCAGGTTGGTAGATGCCCAGGGAGGGCAGGCAGGGGGTCCCGTATAATCGCTTGCTAGGGTGTGCGCATGTTTTCGGGGAGTAATCCTGCTATTGATTGGCGGTCACCACTCAGCTCTGTTTTTTTTTCGTGGCTTTTGTAGATGTCGTGGGGGGGAACGTCCGTTGGCGTAATGTCTCAGCTCCTCCTCCTTCAGCCTTCCTAACCTGCCCGGTGTCCCTTGTTTGTCGTTTCATCACACGTTATATTTTGTTTTGCCTTGCTTCCTTTGGGGACTCGCGTTTCCACCCTACTTTCAGAGGGGGTGGACGGCCGGGGAGCAGGTGCTCATCAGCTACGGGCCGCGGTCCAACGACCACCTGCTCCGACGCTACGGGTTCGTGGAGCAAGACAACCCCAACGACGTCTACCGCATCACTGGGCTTATCGACAAGGTGGGGGGGGCTCATCATCTCGCTCCTGTTGCACATGCATCCTGCCGAAGTCTTCGTTGCTGCCGCGAAGTCCCCGCGCGAGAAAGCTGCGCGGGCAGGCAGCGCTCGTTTTGTTTTGGGCGACGGTTTTGAAGGGAAACGATCACCTTGGTGATGACAAGGGCCTGTGTTGCTTGGTGCAGCCGTGAAGCCGATCCGCCGCCGGGTTGCTGTTCGGTAGGCGGCCTTAGCCTATGGTTGGTCTCACGAACGGAAGACGTTGCTCGCTGGCGTGCAAGCCCATCTCACCAAGTTGGTGGGAGTAGACCCGACGCAAGACATACCTATATACTGATCCCTTCGCCGAACATCACGCCCGGTATAACTGCCTTGTAGACGTGGCGGTTTCGTCTTGCTTGCCGGTGTCTCCGTCGATGGACGCAGCCTTGGCATCTCCCCCCCCTCCCCCCCTCCCCCTTCTTCCGCCTCCCCCCCGCCCCCTCCGGTGCAATGCAGAATACAATCTGTTTCGGTGTTTTCGTAGCAACAGGACGTTGAGATCGGCGCGCCTTCGTCTTGTTTGCCCCATGCTGCACCACACACAACCGTCACAAACAGGAACACCTCTTGTCCCCAGCTCACCCGCTGACCTGACCTGACCTGCCCGCACACACGTCTCGCGCCATTGCGTATGTCATTTGCGGAAAAACAACAACCGACAAAAGCTGTCCGACGTCTTGGGCAAGGACAGCGTCAGAGTGCTGCGAGAGTCCGGGGGGAAGCTTGGGACGACGGGGGACAATGCGGAAGGGCGGCCCGTGGAATCGGTTACCGTGGGGCGGTCGGGGCTTCTTGGGGAGAAGGAGGAGGGCAGGGTCATGCCGGTGTTTCGGTTAGCGGTCGTCAAAGATGACCAGGTGCGTTGGGGTGGAAGTGCGAGGTAGCCTGTTCTGGCGCCTGTTTTTTTTTACGTAGGATTTCTGTTTTCGCCCTTTGGTGGGTACGATTTTTTTTTTTGGGCTTTGGTGCTCACGTGGTCTTGTTCGCTCGGTCGGCGTTTGGTCCCTGTGGGTCAGGGGGGGGGGTAGCAGGGCAATGCCCGCGTTCGCATGTACGGTCTCTTGTACTTCGAAGAAGTGATTTGTGTACGAGTCAAATAGAAAATTACCGATTTGTTGGCTACGCCCCCCCCCCCCCCCCCGCTCATTGCGTATGTTCAGGATGTGCATATTTTGTTGGCCTGCGACTGCCCGCAGTGTTCCCGTTGGTCAATTTTGTTCCCACCGTAACCTTACGATAGGGTGGTGGTCATTGGTAGAAGAGTAGATCTGCCCCGAACCCCCAGGTGCAATCAATCAAGAACGGAGGTGACCAATCCAACCAACAATCTGTTGTTATCAACCCTAGATGATAGATAGCACCCGATGGGATCAGAACAGCTCCACAAACAGCCCGTCTCAACACACCTCATCACATGGAACGATCTCGCGACCTAACCGCCCCTTGCGTATCCCCAGTCAGGTGGAACCAAACATCTGGGCCAGCTCTCATCCCGAGCAAGCCAAGAGTCATGAAAAACACCCAATGGCGACATCTCTACAAACCGCCCCGCTCCGCCCCATACCCCCACCCACAACCGTAAAAAAAGAAAAAAAAACGTATTCCGCGCCCGCCAATGGTCGTTGCTGCTGCTGCTGTGTTGTCAATATTTTAGTTGCCCGAGGGGAAAGCGGCGGGAATCTCGCTCAAAGACTTTTCGAACGAAATATCGCCAGCCAATGAGGCTGCCGCTCGCGATGCTCTGAGAAAGGTGAGGGAAAAGCGCCGCCAGCGAGAGGAGGGTGTGTACTCATGTGAACGCTTGCCCTATGGTCGTTTGACCATTGGCTTCACATGTCTACAATGCCGGGACGGAGCGATATGTACGAAGTACGTATGCCGGGTTTTTCGCCGGTCCAGGCTACGTTTCGCGAGGACGAACCAGAAGCCAACCATTCATCCTTGCATTTCGCTGTGCCAAACCAGATATGCGATGGGTTAGGATTGGGAGAGAAGAGCAACTTTTGTGAGTCGTGCTCTGCTTGTCGACGTCACCCCCCTGCCGTGCGTCGCAGCCTTGAGGGCGGAAAGTGCGACGCTAGCTCCGGGTTTTGCCAGTGTTGCCGTTAGCTGGATTTCGTTGTGTATGCTGTATGACCGACCGACCGCGTCGTCCTTATCCTCGCGAAAAACATGCTCAACCATTGTTGCACTCTCAACGCAAGACGATTTCGATCTTTTTCGGAGCGTTTTCGTTGGATAGGGTAGTCGGGGGGACAGCAGATTGTGGTGCGTGCTGGGTACAGGTGTGAACGCCTTAGCAAATTTGACGTCAGCAGCAGATAACAACGACGCTTCGTCAAGAGTAGGCACTCACGAAGCAGCAATCATAAGAATGTCCGAAAAAACAGGGCCGATAGCCCAGGGCGTCTTGCCTTGAAACATGGACATCAACCCGTTTGTTTTTCTGCGATACGCCCTCGCCATGCTGCACTCAATTTGGGATTGTTGCCGACTCTGTTGTTGCGGAGTGACTTATCGTTACGTGGAAATGAAGCCGATTATTTTTGTCCTCATCGTGTTTATTGTCCATAATGAATCACCAGCTATGCATCAAGGAGCGGGAGGGCTTTGCCACTACCTTGGCAGAAGACGAGGCCTACCTGTCCTCGCTGGGCAACAGCTTGGGAGGTAAGCGAAGCAGCCACATGTAATCACCACCGACTGTCTAGCCCTAGACGAGGTCCCCAACTGTAGGATTCAATCCCTGGGGGGGGGGTGTAGGCTTTGAGGAGCTTGTGAGGGGATCGACCAGAGGGAAAGTCATCGCGAAACGTTCAGGTCGAAAGGCCTGGAATGGGTATCTACGGGAAAGACGGTGTCACGGCCTTTGCGCGAGGAAGGACGTGTCGCGTCTGTTTTCTAGACTAATGCATGTAGCCACTGAAATACTACCCGTTGGAGAAATTGATACCACAGCAGTCGAAGGGGATGTGTTGAAAGCCTTTGCAGTGTTTTCTGTTCGAAGCACGTCGACCATCGAGCGCAAATCTAACAGGTACGCGCGGAATGCTTGTTGGTCAGCACGTTTCCCCGAAAACATCGGTTGTAGATTCCATAAGAATACATAAGTACATACGCATACATGCTACCCGTTGGAGATAATAATATCACAGTACGTGGCAGTGGGTGGGGGTGGGGGGGGGGGGGGG